AAACCAAAACCAAACCCAAACCCAAACCCAACCAAACCCAAGCCGCAAACCCAGGAACGCCAACACCAACCCAAACCAACCAACAAACCAAACCCAAAACCCAGAACCCAACACCCAATCCCAAACCCAAAGCGCCAACCCAACCCAAACCCAACCCAACGCCAAACCGCAAAAACCCAACCCAAAACCAACCCAAACCAACCCAACCGCAACACCCAAACCCAAAACGCCAAACCCAAACCCATATGCAACCCAACCAAACACCAACCAAACCCAAACCCAAAACCCAACCCAAACCCAACCCAAACCCAAACCCAAACCCAACCCAACCAACCCAAACCCAAACCAAACCCAACCAAACCCAACCCAAACCCACTCCAAACCCAACCCAAACCCAAAAACCCAAAACCAAACCCCAAACCCAACCCAAACCAAACCAAACAACCCAAACCAAACCAAACCCCAAACCCAAAACCCAACCAAACCCAACCCAAACCCAAACAAACCCCCAAACCCAACCCAACCCAAAAAAACCCAACCCAAACCCAACTCCAAACCAAACCCAAACCCAACCCAAACCCCCAAACCAACCAAACCCAAAAACCCCCAAACCCACCCAAACCAACCAACCCAAACCCAAACCCAACCACCCAAACCCCAAACCCCCAACCCAACCCAACCCAAACCCAAACCCAAACCCAACCCACCCAAACCCAAACCCAAACCAAACCCAAACCCAACCCAACCCAAACCCAAACACCAACCCAAACCCAAACCCAAACCCAAACCCAACCCAAACCCAACCCAACCCACACCAAAACCCAAAACCAAACCCAACCCAAACCCAACCCAAACCCAAACCCAAACCCAACCAAACCCAACCAACCAAACCCAAACCCAAACCCCCCAACCCCAACCCAACCACCGCACTCGACGCCCCACCCCACCCACCTCCAACAACTACCACCCCAGACCCCAACCCCACAACCACGCACACCCAACCCCAACGACCAAACCCCAACCCCCAAACCCTAAACCAAACAGACTCTACTCTTCCCCCCCTTTCCCCTCGCCATCAGCCATCAGCTCTGTCGGAAAATGGCCTGGAAGCCGGCTTATAGATCTCGCTGCGAATGTTTCAAGGGAATTAGTCCTGCTTACGACCTGCTGGGAAAAGAGTCTCGGTGGATCCGTGTTCGCCTTTCAATGTGATACGAGTAAGTATGGGAGAGGAAGGAATAAGTAATAAGTATGGGAGAGGAAGTAATAAATACGTATGGGAGAGGAGAGGAAGAGATAAGTAATAAGTATGGGAGAGGAAGGAGAAAGTAATGAAGTATGGGGAGGAAGGAGATAAGTAATAAGTATGGGGAGAGGAGAGGAAGAGATAATAATAAGTATGGGAGAGGAAGAAGATAAGTTAATAAGTATGGGAAAGGAGAGGAAGAGATAAGTAAATAAGTATGGGAGAGGAAGGAGATAAGTAATAGTATGGAGAGGAAGGAGATAAGTAACAAGTATGGGAGAGGAAGGAGATAAGTATAAGTTATGGGAGAGAAGGAGATAAGTAATAGTAATGGGAAAGGAAAAGAGATAGTATAAGTATGGGAGAGAAGGAGATAAGTAATAAGTATGGGAGTATGGGAGGAAGAGATAGTAATAAGTATGGAGAGGAAGGAAGAGATAAGTAAATAAGTATGGGAGAGGAGGAAGTAAGTAATAAGTATGGGAGAGGAAGAAGAGATAAGTATAAAAGGGGGAGGAAGGAAAGTAATAGTATGGGAGAGGAAGAGTAGTAATAGGTATGGAACGAAAGACGTGTATGTAATAAGTATGGGAGAGAAGAATAAGTAATAAGTATGGGAGAGGAGAGGAAGAGATAAGTAATAAGTATGGGAGAGGAAGGAGATAAGTAATAAGTATGGGAGAGGAAGGAGAAAGTAATAAAGTAATGGGAGAGGAAGAAATTGTAATCAGTATGGGACATGGTATGTAATAAGTATGGGAGAGGAAGGAGATAAGTAATAAGTATGGGAGAGGAAGGAGATAAGTAATAAGTATGGGAGAGGAAAGGGAGGTAAGTAATAAGTATGGGAGGAAAAACGTGGTATGTAATAAGTATGGGAGAGGAAAGAGATAAGTTAATAAGTATGGGAGAGGAAAGGGAGTAATGTAATAAGTATGGGAGAGAAAACGTGGTATGTAATAAGTATGGGAGAGGAAGGAGATAAGTAAAATAACTAGGGAGAGGAAAGTATGGGAGGAGGAAAGTATAAGTAAGTAATAAGTATGGGAGAGGAAAGCGAGATAGGTATGGGAGAGGAACGGAGATAAGTAATAAGTATGGGAAAAGAAGAGATATAGTAAAGAGTATGGGAGAGGAAAGAGAGAATAATAAAAGTATGGGAAGGGAAGGAGATAAGTATAAGTATGGGAGAGGAAAGGGAGATATATAAGAATAAGATAGGTAAGAGAAGGGAGATAAGTGAGAAATATGGGAGATGAAGAGTAGTAAAAGTATGGAGAGGAAGGCGGATAAGTAATAAATATGGAGATGAGGAGGTAAGTAATAAGTATGGGAGAGGAAAGGGAGATATAAGTAATAAGTATGGGAGAGGAAGGCGAGAGATAAGTAATAAGCATGGGAGAGGGAAGGCAAATAAGTAATAAGTATGGGAGAGGAAAGTAATGGGAGAGGAAGAGATAAGTTAAATAAGTTATGGGAGAGGAAGAGATATAGTGAATAAGTATGGGAGAGGAAGGCGAGATAAGTAATAAGTATGGAGAGGAAAGGGAGGTAAGTAATAAGTATGGAGAGGAAGGAGATAAGTAATAAGTATGGGAGAGGAAGGAAACAAGTAATAATATGGAGAGGAAGTAGATAAGTAATAAGTATGGGAGAGGAAGGGAGGTAGGGAGAGGAAGGAAACAAGTATAAGTATGGGAGAGGAAGGCGAGATAAGTAATAAGTATGGGAGGAGGAAGGAGGTAAGAAATAAGTAAATGGGAAGTATACAAATAAGTATGGGAGAGAAGTGATAAGTAATAAGTATGGGAGAGGGAGAATAAGTAACAAGTATGGGAGAGAAGGAACAAGTAATAAGTATGGGAGGAAGGAGATAAGTAATAAGTATGGGAGAGGAAGGAGGTAAGTAATAAGTATGGGAGAGGAAAGAGAGATATAAGTAATAAGTATGGGAGAGGAAGACGAGGTAAGTAATAAGTATGGGAGAGGAAGGCGAGATAAGTAATAATGTGATGATATATGAGGATGAACGAAAAGGTATGTAATAATGTGATGATAAAAGAGGATGAACGGAAATATAAGTAATGTGATGATAAATGAGGATGAACGAAAAGGTAAGTAATAATAATATGATAAATGAGGATGAACGATATGTGCTGTAACATATGCTGTAATGACAAATATGTTTTACTTACTGCTAATATAAGATATACTAGTCAATATAATATAAAGATATACTTTATATTTACTTAAGAATAGTAATATAAGATTACAATGAAAATATTCTACTTATAGTAATAAAGATTACTTTAAACAAATTATTTTACTTAAGAATAGTAAATATAAAGATATACTGTATGACAAATATTCTACTTAGATAGTAATATAAAGATATACTGTAATGACTACTTAAGATATAATATAAAAGATATACTGTAATGACAAATATTTTACTTAAGAATCAGTAATATAAAGATATACTGTAATGACAAATATTTTACTTAAGAATAGTAATATAAAGATATACTGTAATGACAAATATATTTTACTTAAGAATAGTAATATAAAAGATATACTGTAATGATAAATATGTTTTACTTAATGCT